GTGGGTGCTGGGAATAGAACATGGGGTCTCTGGAAGAGCAGCCAGTGCTTTTAGCCATTGTAGACCTCCTCCTGTTTGATTTTAGGGTGTGTTGTTTTAGCATTGGGAATTGAACCACTGACCATGAATACCCCTGCTCCTGTTGTTTTGTGTGTGTATGTGTTTTCTAAATAATTTATTTATTTTATTTGCATTGGTGATTTGCCTGCATATATGTCTGGGTGAAGGAGTTATAGACACCTGTTAGCTGCCATGTAGGTGCTGGGAATTGAACCTGGGTCCTCTGGAAGAGCAGTCAGTGCTCTTAACCACTGAGCCATCTCTCCAGCCCCCTTTTTTGTTTTTTTTGAAACAGGGTTTCTCTGTGTAGACATGACTGTCCTGGAACTCACTCTGTAGACCAGGCTAGCCTCAAAGTCACAGAGATCCACCTGCTTCTGTCTCCATAATGCTGGGCTTAAAGGTGTGTGCCACCACTGTCCAGCTTGTGTGTGTGTGTTTTACAATGACTCTATCTTAGTTTAGCATTTGATGTCACTATTTTGCAGTGCTGGGGAGGACTCACACTTGCTCTAGCACTGAGCAGTTAGTTACCTACATCTACAGAGAAAGCCCATCCTCTCAGGGTCAGACTGTGCAAGTGGAAGGTAGCTATAGAAAGCTGGGTTGCAGCTTTTGGCTTCATCCCTTTGTCTTGTTCTGGCTATGTTAATCAGGCTAGTGTTTAACTCATGCAGTTAAGTGATCCTCCTGCCTTAGCCTTCCAGAAATCTGGGACTGCAGGCTATTCCTACACTCAACTACTTTATTTTATTATTTTTATTTATTTATTTATTTTGGTTTTTTTGAGACAGGGTTTCTCTGTATTGTTTTGGAGGCTGTCCTGGAAGTAGCTCTGTAGACCAGGCTGGCCTCAAACTCACAGAGATCACCTGCCTCTGCCTCCCAAGTGCTGGTATTAAAGGCGTATGCTATTTTATTTTATTTTATTTTTTTGGTTTTTACGAGACAGGGTTTCTCTGTATTGTTTAGGAGGCTATCGGTCCAGCCTGGCCTCGAACTCACAGAGATCTGCCTGCCTCTGCCTCCCGAATGCTGGGATTAAAGGCATGTGCCACCACCGCCCGGCCTTATTATTTTTTTAAGATTTATTTATTATGTATACAGTGTTCTGCCTGCATGTATGCCTGCAGGCCAGAAGAGGGCACCAGATCTCATTACTGGTGGTTGTGAGCCACTATGTGGTTGCTGGGAATTGAACTCAGGACCTTTAGAAGAGCATTCAGCATTCTTAACCTCTGAGACATCTTTCCAGCCCCTTATTTTAGTTTTTTTGAGACAGGGTTTCTCTTATATTTTTGGTTGTGAGCCTAGCCTTTAACGGCTGAGCCATCTCTCCAGCCCGAGACAGGGTTTCTCTATGTCCTGGAATTCACTCTGGAGACCAAGCTGGCCTCTCTTGAATTCACAGAGATCTGCCTGCTTTTGCCTCCTGAGTACTAGGATTAAAAACATGGGCCACCACCACCCAACTATTTAATTTTTAATTTGAGCATATAATTGCAACCTCAATGAAAAGAAATTCAGATAGGAAAGGAGGAGAAAGTTGGGGAAAAGACATGGGCAGGAGACTCATCTCTCTTCTTTTCTTTCTTCCTTTATGTGTGAGTGTGCATGTGTGTGTGAGTATGTAAGTGTGTGCATGTGAGTGTGTATGTGTGCATGTATGTGTGTATGTGTGCATGTGAGTGTGTGTATATGCATGTGAGAGTGTGTATGTATGTGTGTATGTGAGTGTGTATGTGTGTATGTGAGTGTGTATGTGTGTATATGTGTATACGTGTGCGTGTGAGTGTGTATATGCATGTGAATGTGTGTATGTGCATGTGAGTGTGTATATGTGTGCATGTGGGTGTGTGAGTGTGTATATGCATGTGAGTGTGTGTATGTGTGCATGTGGGTGTGTGTGTTAGAGGTGGAACACACGGTCTCATGAATGCTGTGTTCTACCAATAAACTGCATTTCCAGCCCCACATCTGTTCAGGTGAGCAGAATGGAGGGATGGTTCAGTGGTTAAGAACACTTATTGTTCTTCCAGAGGACCTGACTTCAGTTCCCAGAACCCACACTGGCCAGTTCACAACTGCTTGTACCTCCAGCTCTCAGAGGATCCAAAGCCTCTGGCCTTTGTGGGCACTTGAACTCAGGTACACATGCCCACACGAAACCACAGGAACATGCGTGTAATTAGAAATAAATTCATTTGTTAAAAGATGAGTAGAAAGGCCGGGTGTTGGTGGCGCATGCCTTTAATCCCAGCACTAGGGAGGCAGAGGCAGGCAGTTCTCTGTGAGTTTGAGGTCAGCCTGGTCTACCGAGCAAGTTTCAGGACAGCCTCCAAAACTACACAGAGAAACCCTGTCTCAACAAACCAAAAAAAAAAAAAAAAAAAAAGAGTAGAAAGACTGCAAATAGACGTTTTGTTACAGACAGGAGGGAAACTGAGTGCCGAGTAGGACAGCCCCAGCTTCTGTGAAGTGACAGGATTAAGAAGAGGATCCAGTAAAGCTGGAACCAGCATGTCCAGTTTGTTGACCATCTCGCAGCTGGGCTGCAGGAGGAGCGGGAACACACAGTGAGGTCCACTCAAGGTGAAGCCTGCCAGACCCGGAGCTTCCAATATGAAGAGCACAGCTCAGCAGCCTTTGTCACATTTGCCTCTTAGTGGCTCTTTTGGGGGCTTATTTATTTTATTTTGATGCTGAAGTCCAGGCTGGCCTCAAATTTGATGTGTAGCCAAGAATGGCCTTAAACTCCTGATCCTCTTGCCTCAGCCTCCAAAGTAACAAGATGACACATGTGTGTCACTATGTTTTCTTGGTGATGTTGGCGGCCCTGTTTGTGCTGGCAAGGGAATTGCTGTGTAGACCAGGCTGTCCTTGTGCTCACAGAAACCTGTCTGCCTCTGCCTCCTGGTGTTGGGATGATAGCGTGACCACCTTGTTTGGCTCCAGTTAGAGATTCTGCTTGTTTGCTGGTGGACAAGGTTTCAGGCAGCCAATGCTCCCATCACACCTGTGGTGGGGCTCGAGCGCCCAGTCAGTCCTGCCTCCGCCTCTCAAGTGCCACATTACAGGAGCACACCGCCAAACCTGGTTAGAGATTCTCAGGGGCACTCCTGGCCTCCTACCCCAGCTTTCTGCTGTATCCCTGTTTGTTGCTTGCTTGTAGACAGGGTTTTGGTGTGCAGCCCCAGCTGGCTTCACTTCAGCATCCCAAATGAAGAGATCTCTTGGCGTGATCTGCCATGATCCACTCTGTTGTGTATTTAGTCTTCCTTACTTCCTCCAGTCTTAGTCCCCTGGTCTCCTTTCCTTGGGTTTTGCAGTAACTTGGGCTTGCTGGACAGATCTTATGATGACCACCGAAGATCCTGCCTTCTGATACTCACACAGTTGTAGGATCCCCTCCTCTTGATTGCAAGTATCACCTATGATTTTCTTCCCATCACAGACGATAGCAAAGGTGATGACATGGTATTTCTGCGATGCTCAGGCTTGGGCACTTGGAGAGATGGCTTAGGAGTTGAAAATACTTGCTGAACAATCTCGAGGGCTGGAATTCGGATGCTGGCACCCTCTATCAATTTAGGCATCCTGAGGGTCTGACACCTCAGGCCGCCATGCATGCATGAGCTATGAATCCTGTCTCTCCACGTCCACATTCATCCACACAAACACAAATGCTCTGTCTTATGGCTGGTGAGGCAGTCCATTGATGGAGGAGGTCCTGGGTTGGATACCCAAGTAGCGCAAGACGAAATCAAGCTCTGTTCTAGGAAACGGAAGTTAAACTGTCCTTGTCAGGTTCATGAAGTACACAGCTCCTTTAGAGAAGCCTCCATGGTGAGTCACTGGGTAATCTCTGGGAAGTTTGGGTGGAGCGTCAGCAAAACTCCCAGGCCTCCAGTCATATCACAAGAAAGAAGTTCTGCCAACAACCTGAATGGCTTACAAGGAGGCTGGTCCCCATTTGATTCTCCAGACGAGAATTCAGATGATCTGATCTAGCCTTGAAGACTGCCTTGGGAGACTGCATGTAAAAGAATTTGCCAAAATATTTCTGAACTCTTGACCTTAGGCACTTGAGATAAAGTGCTTGTGAGTATTCATGTGTTCATGATTCAGTTGGGGTCTCACTTGTAGACCCAGGAAGGGTGCAAATCCACCCTGTATCCTAAGCTGGCCTTGAACCTTTATCATTTCAGGCTCCAGGGTGCTAGAATTGCAGAGGATTGATCCACGTTTAGGGAATATCTAGTAACCTAGGATTGGACCTGGGTCTAGGTCTAGGACAGCTAGGAGGGAAAGACTAGAGGCTAGAGGATGTTTTACATACAGCCCTTTAGACACTAGGAATTTTCTTCTTCTTCTTCTTCTTCTTCTTCTTCTTCTTCTTCTTCTTCTTCTTCTTCTTCTTCTTCTTCCTCTTCTGTTTTTTTGTTGTTGTTTGTTTTTGCTTGTTTGTTTAATTTTGTGAGACAGGATTTCTCTGTGTAGCTTTCGGGCCTGTCCTGGAACTCTCTCTATAGACCAGGCTGGCCTCGAAGTTAGAGATCCACCTGCCTCTGCCTCCCTGGCACCACCTAGCACCCTAGACACTCGGAATTTTCAAAGCAAATTGTGTACCACCCTTCCCTACCTGCGCTCAGAGGCGGGCGAGCCTGCGCTCGGAGTTACCGCCTGGGCGGTCCCCTGAATCTCCGGGCTCTGCCCAGTGCCTGGCACCCTGCACTCCTAACACAGGGTCTGAGTGCAAAGGCCCCGGAGGGAGCCGGGGAGGCCGCACCTGCAGTTCCCGTGTCGGTCGCAGGGGCGCTGCGGAGCGAACCGGGGGCGGGGCGGCAGCGGGATGGCCAACCCGAGCGAGCGAGCCCGCCCGCCCGCCAGCGCCGCGCGCGCCGCCGCTACCTCCGCCGCTCGGCCCGGTCCCGGAGCGGAGCGGCCGGCCCGCGGGGCGCGGAGCCGAGGCCCGCGGCCGGCCGCATGAAGGACTGCGAGTACCAGCAGATCAGCCCCGGGGCCGCCCCGCCGCCCGCCTCCCCCGGGGCGCGCCGCCCCGGCCCCGCCGCGCCCCCCGCTCCGAGCCCCGGGCCCGCGCCCGGAGCACCGCGCTGGAGCGGCAGCGGCAGCGGCAGCGGCAGCGGGAGCCTGGGCCGCCGGCCTCGGCGTAAGTGGGAGGTGTTCCCCGGCCGCAACCGCTTCTACTGCGGCGGCCGCCTCATGCTGGCCGGCCACGGCGGCGTCTTCGCGCTCACGCTGCTGCTCATCCTCAGCACCACCGTCCTCTTCTTCGTCTCCGAGTGAGTTCGCCCCCTTCCTTCCCCCCGCGCGCTGTGTCCCCCGGCCGCCGCTCATTCCCGACGCGCATCCGTCTACCTTCGGGCCTCCGCCCGCCCCGGACCCCCGCACCCCTCCTCACCATCCGGACTTTGGGTGCCCGGCCGCGGTCACCGGCCTTTGCGGGGTTCCTCAGGTCCGCCTGCCTTCCTATCCTTGGCCGGTTCACGCCTATCCCAGGCTCGTTCTGACCCCTCTAGGCGTCTTTTATTCCTATCCTCAGACAACTAAGTTTTTGTATCCCTTGGCTATGAACACCATGAATCTTTGCAGGCGTCTCCTCAGGTCTCTCCATGGTTCTGCAGGGTCCTGGCTCCCTCGGACTGTCCCCTCATACACCCCCTCACCCCCCCACCCCGCTTTTCCTCAGTCGTGCTCGCCCTAGGCCCCGAAGCATCCTCTCTAAAGCGTCTTTGGGCCTCTCAGACTGGCCCTCCCCTCTCCAGCGCTTTCCTTAGTTTCGCCAAAGCTGCTTCTTCCTGACCCTCCCTTAGCTACCTAGAACCCCAGGTGTCTCTCCAACCCTGACCTGGCTCTTTCCCTTCTGGACACCCTGGAGCATCCCCCACCAGGACAGCTGCTTCCCTCCTTTTCCTGAGAGGGACCTTAGTGCTTCCACATGACAGGTCTTAATCGTCCCTATGGGCTTGTGACCTTTTTTCCAGTAGCCCAGCGTTGGCATCTCCCGTCTCGGAGCTGAGGAGTGGCTGCTCGTGGCTTTATCAGGGTCACTCATGCATCCCAAGTTTCCACCCCACCCTCAGCCTCTAGCTGGAGCCACCAACCATGTGACTTCTTGCACACACACACACACACACACACACACACACACACCACACACACCACACACTCCCCCACACACGCTGGGTGAGCCCCACCGTTCCCTCCTACTTCTCTCTGTTCTTTGAGGTTGGCTTTCTTTATTATTCAGTCTAGTTAGGACCTCCATCTTTAATTCCAACACTCGGGAGGCAGAGGCAGGTGGATCTCTATGAGTTCGAGGCCAGCCTGGTCTACAAAGCTACACAGAGAAACCCTGTCTCAAAACAAAACCTCCGTCTTTGGAGCCACTTTCCTTCTTTTCCACCATCCACCAAAGTGCTCTGCCGTTCCATGCTGGGTCAGGGTGGAGAAAGGTTCAGGGTGGTTTACACAGAGCAGCTCTGGGACCCCCACCTGGCCTCCAGGCCAGGTTTCATCTCCACCTCACTGTGGCCTCTTGGGGTGCTGTAGGAGTGCTTTTTCCGGGGACCCTGGCCACTCTTTTCCCTCGGTGCTCACGCCCAGGCTCACGCCCAGGCAGGAGGAAGTAGTGCTGGCTGTAGTTGCTCTGTGACCCTTCAGGGTCAGATCTGGACTCCCGAGAGCCTGAACTTCTTTATTTCTTTCTTTATTTTTATTTTATGTGCACATTTGTCTGTGTGAGGGTGTCAGATCTTGGAGTTACAGACAGCTGTGAGCTGTCATGTGGGTGCTGGGAATTGAGCATGAGTCTCTGGAAGAGGAGCCAGTGCTCTTACACGGTGAGCCAGCTCTCCAGCCCTAGCCTGAATTTCTGGATGGTGATCCTGAGTTGCCCCCAGCCAGAGAAGAAGGGAGAACTCCTGGGCTCAGGGAAAACAGACCAGTCCGTCACCTTGGCCTTCATCTCTGGTTCTCACTCTTGGGTGGTGACTTTGGGAGCAGGGTGAGGTTACACCCCAGAGTCCTGCTGGGTGTTGGGTGTTGGGGGCTTGGAGAGCTCCGAAGAGGACCCAGAGCAGTGGGCACACTTTCAGTGAGGTCGGGAATGGTAGGACATGCTCACTCCTGCTGCTCTGGGGGGAGACCTTTCCTGCTGAGATGGTTTCGCTGCCCTGTTTGGTGAGTAGTGATGTAGCTTCCCAGTGTGGCCCCGCTCTTACCCCCTTTCTCTCACACGGCAGCCTTGACATCAGATTTCAGACTCCCTGCTCTACCTCTAGATGAGAGCTAGAGCTCTAATAGTGGCCTTCTGTGGCCTCTGGTCCCTCTCTCAGTCCTCCTGCTGGGTTCTCTTCTGCTGAGTTACTCTCTCCAGTTCGTGACCTGCAGCTCACTCCTGCCTCACGGCCTTTTGGAGCAAGCCCATGGCTCACTCATTTCTTTTTATCACTCTTTCCCTCCAACACACGCCTGTGTGCACACGCACACACACAATCGGTCATTCTGAGCCTGCCTTTTCTGGGTGAGCATAGTAAGTATCCATGCTGCTATATATTTAGTGCCTAGAGCCAGTGCAAGGGAGACCATCAGTGGATGGATGGATGGGTGGGTGGGTGGATGGATGGATGGATGGATGGATGGACGGACGGACGGATGGATCTTGCTGGGAGTCTGGAGTTGCCAGCTTGTAATCGGCATCCTGGCTGGGTGACCTTGAATCTAGCTGTGGAAATCAGAGCCTAGGACTCGGTGTGGTGTTACCCCAGGGCCCTCTCTGCAAGTCCCAGTCTTCATTTTCCAGGCTGTGTGTGAGCTAGGTGAGCTGTCCAGCATTGGAACTGAGAGTGACTGCTGGTTCTTTTGAAGAACTGGACATGAAAGGTGTGTGGAGCGGAGGGTAGCCGCTTGGAGCCCTTGGCTTTGTCAGGCTCTGGTTCTTAGAGGAAGGCAGCTGCAGGTTTCAAAAGCAATCTTTGGATGTCCTGGTCTTGCTCCCTGCATCTGTGGATCCCAAGCCTCCCGACAGATGCATCCTTCAAACAGCACCCCCCTCCCCCATCACATCCCCTCTGGCTCCAGTGGGAAGCAGTGGCTGGCTGAGGTTGGTCAGCATGAACTACATAGTCATGAGAAGAAAGGGCCCTCCTGCGTTGCCCAGGTTGTTTAAACTTTATGAACGTCTTCATCTGTGAAGTTTGGGGCATAAGGTTAGAGGGTCGTGCCGAGAGTGCACAGCAGCCTATCCAGCACATAGTAACTTATCTGTGCCAGGCATTTAATAGCTAATCAATTTTGAAACAGGGTCTCACCGTGTAATCCTAGCTAGCCTTGAATTCACAGAGACCCACCTACCTGCCTGTGTCTCCAAGTGCTGAGGTTAAAGGCATGAGTGATTGTGTTCCACAGAATTAAAATTTTTTGAGACAGAGTTTCTCTGTGTAGTTTTGTAGACCAGGCTGGCCTCGAACTCAGGGATCCACCTGCCTCTGCTTCCTGAGTGCTGGGACTAAAGGCGTGTGCCACTGCTGCCTGCCCGGCTTGAACTCAGGGCTTTGTGCATGGCAGAGAGCATTTTACCACTGAGCTATATCCCCAGCCTGTGGGTAGTATTTATAATGACTTACTGACTAGGGCAGTATCTAGCACATAGTAAATCTTCAAAAGACATCAGGTATTAGGGCTGGAGATGATAGAATGGTAAAGTGCTTTCCTAGCATGTGTAAGACATCGAGTTTGGTCTGTAGTACCGAAAACGAATATATGGTAGCTACTTTCTCTCCATGAGGGGCGTGCCACTCATTTGGTAGGTATTTACTGGGTAACATGCAAAGATGCTGTCTGTGCCCACAGAGAAACTTGTCACTTAGCAGGCAGGTAACTTTCTTTTTTTTTTTTTTTTTCTGGTTTTTCGAGACAGGGTTTCTTTGTATTGTTTTGGAGGTTGTCCTGGAACTCGATCTGTAGACCAGGCTGGCCTCAAACTCCCAGAGATCCACCTGCCTCTGCCTCCCGAGTGCTGGTATTAAAGGCATGCACCACTAACGTCCGGTTGCAGGCAGGTAACTTAACCACACAAGCAGTTAACTTTTTCTTTAGGCAGGATCTTCCTCTATGGTTGTGGCTAGCCCGGAACTCAATGTATAGACCAAACTGGGCTCAAATTTCCAGAGAGCTGTCTGCTTCTGCCTCCAGAGTGCTGGGGTTAAAGGCATGAGCTGTTGTACCCTAAATTAATTAATTTTTGTTTGTTTGTTTTTGTTTTTTTGAGACAGGGTTTGTCTGTGTAGCCTGGCTGTCCTGGAACTCACTCTGTAGACCCTGCTGGCCTTGAACACAGAGATCCACCTGTCTCTGCCTCCCAAGTACTGGAATTAAAGGTATGTGCCACCACTGCCCAGCTTAACTTACGTTTTTTAACTTTATTTTATGTCTTTGAGTGTTTACCTACATTTATATTTATGCACATACATAACACACACATATGCATATGTGCTGTGTGTGGCATTCACAAGAAGGCATTGGAACTCCTAGAACTGGTACTAAAGATGGTTGTGAGTCACCCTGTGGATGCTGGGGGCTGAACCCAGATTCTCTGGAGGAGTAGTAAATGTTCATAACTACTGAGCCATCTCTAGCCCCCACAGCTAACATTTTTTTTTATGTACGTAGTATTGTGTCTGCACATATGTCTGCAGGCCAGAAGAGGGCACCAGATCTCATTACAGATGGTTGTGAGCCACCATGTGGTTGCTGGGAATTGAACTCAGGACCTCTGGAAGAGCAGCCAGTGCTCTTAACCTCTGAGCCATCTCTAGCTTCCACAGCTAACATTTTTAATAAATGCTATACAGAAAATAATCTTGGAGAAGGACTGCTGTATCTGAGCAGTCAAGGAAGGTCCTCTGAGGAGGGAAGAACATTCCGGAGGAAATGAGCAGTCAGTGCAAAGGCCTTGAGGTGGGAAGGAGTCACAGTTGTGTGGAAATTGCCATGAGGCCGATGTGATGCGAGCAGAGGGGGTGAGGAGAGTTTTTGCAGATTGAGGCGGGAGAAACCTCAACATAACTCAGGACATGGCCGGCCTAGTAGGCCGGTTGAGAGTCTGGATTCCATTTGAAGCCATCAGAAGGTTTCAAGCAAGGACATGACAAGATCTGATTTACAGTTGCAGAAAGTGGCTGTGACTTTGTGATAGGCAGCCACAGTGACAAAGAAGACTGGCCATAGGGCGTCCCAGTAGGTTCACTTCATGCTAAAGTCATGCCCCACCAATATCCAGAACTTCTAGAACATTACAGGCTTAAAATGGAAGCAATGGCTCGAAGAGGGATGTGGAAGCCTGTGGTCCCTGGAGCAGCCTGGATGTCTGGGGGCACACACTGTTTTCCTTAACCCTCTCCTCATCCTTCTGGGTGTGGCTGCAGCTTCAATCTTTTTTACTCTGTGGCACGCACCACCGTGTGTGACAGTTCCCTGTTTGCTGAGCTCTTTTCCCCTGTTGACCATAAGCCACATGGCAGAGAGACTTGTCATATTCATAGCCATTATTCCTGCTGTTTTGAGAGTGTTACCTGGCACAAAAAAGAACTCAGTAAATATTTGTGGAGCAACTGGCTGGATAGATGAATGAATGAATGAATGAATGAATGAGATTGTAGCATCGCCGTGGATGGTTATCTCAAATGGCAGCACCCTTAGTTAGTAGTGGCTTCCTGAAGTTCTGTGTCTCCTAAAAGGACTGAGAGCTAAGGCTGAAGCCAAGTGCTGCGATAGGTCTGGAGGGATGGTTCAGTGATTAAAAGCACTGGCCACTCTTCCAGAGGACCTGGGTTCAATTCCTAGCACCTACATGGTGGCTCACAACCGTCTTTAACCACCATTCAGGGGGTTCAGTGTCTTCTGCTGGCCTCTTCAAGCACCAGGTATATACAGGGTGCACAGACATGGGTGTAGGTAAAATATCCATAGACAGGAAGTATTAAAATGCTGGGTACCGAGCTGGACACAGTATTGCGTTCACATGCAGCCCTAGCTCTTGGTGGGAAGATGGCTGGAGTCCAAGGGTTTAGGACCAGCCCAGGAAGCCCCCATCTTTCTGTTTCCATCTCTGTCTCTTTGTCTCTCTCTCCCTCTTCGGTTTTTAATTACCTTTTATTTATTTTGTTTGTTTGTTTTTGAGACAGGGTTTCACTGTGTAACAGCCCTGGCTGACCTGAAACTAGCTTTGTAGACCAGACTGGCCTTGAACTTGCAGAGATCTGCCTGTCTCTGCCTCCTGAGTACTGGGGTTAAAGGCGTGCACCACCTCTGCTGGTTGATTTTATTGATTTTGTATGTGTGTGCCATGGCATGCATGTTAAGATCAGAGGACTCCTTGTGAGAGTCATTTTTCTCCCTTCATCATATTGGTTCCAGGATCAAACTCAGGCCATCACGCTTGATAACAAGCATTTTATATACTGAACCACCTCAGTAGCCTGGTTTTGTTGTTGTTGTTGGTTTGTTTGTTTTTGTTTTTTGTTTTTTTGCATGTTTAAGACAAGGTCTCATATAACCCAGCTTAGTCTTGAGTTTACTATGTATGAAGAATGGCCTTGAACTCCTGATCTTCCTACTTGGGCCTTCTGAGTGTTGGGAATATAGGGATGTTCTGCCACAAAAAAGAAAGCTAGGTCTAGTTGTGTGTGTGTATTCAGGAGGCGGATGGAGGCAAGAAAATCTAGAGTTCCAGGACAGTTTAGAAAGTTTCAGGCTAGCTGGCAAGTCCCTGTTGGAAAGAAGGAATGGCAGAAGAGGGATCTGCCTGCCAGCGTGGGGTAAGGGAGAATATCTGTTTGTCTCATCTGACGTTGGAAACACTCCAGGGTTAACCAGAAATGTCCTCTCTGGGCACTTATGGGGAGTGGCTGCACTTCAAGAATATGGCATCTATCCCAGGGAGCCCTGGGGTAATCTGAACTCTCTTCTCTCCTAGCTGTCCCTACCTGGCCAGCAAGCTGACCCTGGCCATCCCCATCATCGCTGCCATCCTCTTCTTCTTCGTCATGAGCTGCCTCCTGCAGACCAGTTTTACTGACCCTGGCATCCTACCCCGGGCTACCACCTGTGAAGCAGCTGCCCTGGAGAAGCAGATTGGTGAGGCTCTGACTCCTAGCCCATGATGGCTCCACGTTCCCGCCTGTGAGAGGAGGCCTGGTTTTCTCCTACTGCACTGTGCTAGGAATTCAGGGTATAGCAGTGAGCAAGGCAGGCTGGAGCTGACACTGTAGCAGAGGAGGCAGATGATGAGCACACAGGCGAATGAGTAAGTAAGGAAGAAATGCGGGCAGCTTTTAAGCTGTCCCTGTGTGTGTGACTACTGATAGGCCATTAGCCTTTGGGTCAGTACTGTTACTCTTCTCCTCTTCATTCATTTAAATTAGACAGGGAGAGTTTAAATACATAGTTCAAGATCACACAGCTCAAGCCAGGCAATGGTGGAGCATGCCTTTAATCCCAGTGCTCAGGAGACAGGCTGGTGGATCTCTAAATTTCAGGACAACTTGGTCTACAGAGTGAGTTCCAGGACAGCCAGAGCTATATAATTGACACCCTGTCTTGAAGAAAACAAAACAAAAGCAAGCAGGCAAAAAAGGTCACACAGTAAGCATAGGAACTGTGATGTACCTCCAGGCAGCAGTTGGCCTGAGCCCTGCTCTTAGATGTGTTTAAACTCTCTTTCTTCCCCCAGACAAGGTATCATGTAGTCTAGGCTTGCCTACTATGTAGCTGAGGATGGTCTTTCTTTCTTTCTTTTTTTTTGTTTTTTGTTTTTGTTTTTCGAGACAGGGTTTCTCTTGGCTTTGGAGGCTGTCCTGGAACTAACTCTTGTACACCAGGCTGGTCTCGAACTCACAGAGATCCACCTGCCTCTGCCTCCCGAGTGCTGCGATTAAAGGCATGCGCCACCACCGCCCGGTTTAGGATGATCTTAATTTCTGACCTGTCTGCCTTTACCTCCTAAGTGCTGGGATTATAGGCGTGCTCCCCACACTCAGCTGAATGTTTGTATACTCTTTATTCATTGTATCATGAAACATTTATTGAACCCGTGCTGTACGCCGTGAGCTATCCCAGATGCTGGTGACAGAGGAATGAAGGAAACTGACAGTAATCTCTGTCCTCATGGAGGTCGAGGTGACATTCCAGGGTACGAGAAAGGCGGTTAGCAAATAAAGAGACTCGGGACGAGGGTGGGGGCACTGTGCGGGAGGTGGTGTATGAGTGAAGAGGCCTGGCCAGGGGAATGGGTGAGGGTCGTAGCAGCATGGGGCGTGGGCTAGTTTAGCCTAGCCAATCAGGACAAGCCCTAGATGCTATGGCTCTGTCTACAGAGGTGAAAGCGTGGGGAGGGGGGAAGGCTGGGTGCCCAGAAAGAACCTTCCAGGCCTCTGAGTAGCTAGCCCTGTATTCCTCCCAGTGGAGAGAGCTGTGGCCAGGGCTCTCAGCTGGCCCACCCCAGCTCCTTCCTGCTGAGAAGTGACTCGGATGTTTGCACACCTCCAGGGTTTCCGGTCATGTTTGGCTCCTTGCCCTAAGAAGGCAGTATACACATAGGCTTTTAACCGCCTAGCTGGCCTGGTGAGATCTAGTGACCTGTAAATGTCAGAGCCCAGATACATCCATCTCCAGGAATTATTTTTGCTGACTCTGGAGCAGCTGGGGAGAGCCCAGGAGAAGATACCTTCCTCGCCTCCTCCTCCTTGGCCCAGGAAGGGGATGGAGCATGTGGGGGGCACACCCGTGGTCTTCCTCTAGAAACCAGCTTCCTTCCTCTTTGCACTGGTCTGGCCTTCCCTTGTAGCTCCTCAGTGTATGACCTGGGCTGCTCACCAGCCACTGGGTTCACAGCTTCTTAGGCAGGCTAATCCTGAGGCAGGGTTATTGTACAGCTCAGCCAGACAGACCGAGCCGGGTCTGGCTGTCTGGAATCCCTGGGTTCTGAGCTGCTTGGCCAGTAGCAACAGTAATCCCTGTGTTTAGGGAGAGCTTGGATCCGTGTCCAGTACTGTCCACTGTTATCCCCACAGATCTTCACATCTGCAGAGGGAGTTCCCAGATGTGTCAGTACAGACTCCAAGCAAGGGGTCACAGGATTGAAGGGAGAGGGAGGGAGTAGGTACCCTCTTCCCACACTCCAGGCTTTGTGTTTGGAGATGGCAGCAGAGATACATCCCTCTATCCTTTCATCTCCACTTTAATGTCCTGAGTCCTGGGCCAGACCTTCTATGACACATTCCCACAGAGCTACATGGTGGTCATGATGAAATTGTTCTTCACTGGGGTGTTAGGGCAAGGGAGATGAGGATGTGGGTGTCTGGTTTACGTTTTCACCGTGCAGGAACCTCATATGGTGTTAGCTAAAGAAAGGGATGGATGACCGGGCGGTGGCGGCGCACGCCTTTAATCCCAGCACTCGGGAGGCAGAGGCAGGCGGATATCTGTGAGTTCGAGGCCAGCCTGGTCTACAGAGTGAGTTCCAGGACAGCCTCCAAAACAATACAGAGAAACCCTGTCTCCAAAAAACCAAAAAAAAGAAAAAAAAGAAAAAAGAAAGGGATGGATGGAAGGATGACTGAGGACTGGGAGCCTCCTGGGGCTCTTCTTGCTGCACTGGGGGCATTTGAAAGGTTTTTGGTGTCTCCCAGGGAGGACATGGTGGGTTCATACAGTTAAATACTGGTTCTACACAATGGCTCCTGGCAGCCAACTGGATGACAAGAATCTTTTTATTTATTTATTTATTTTTGAGACAGGGTTTCTCTGTATAACAGCCTTGATTGTCCTGGAACTCACTCAGTAGACCAGGCTGGCCTTAAATTCACAGAGATCCGCCTGCCTCTGCCTCCTGAGTGGTGGGATTAAAGGTGTACGCCACCCCTGCCTGGATGGATGACAAAAATCTAAAGACAGGAATCTGATACAAAGCCTACCCTATGGGGTCAAGGCCAGTGTTATGTGGAGAGGTCTGACTGGAAGGGGCCTTGGAGGATAGTTGGAAGGAATCAGGAGTGTCTTCTCTATGCCAGACTTTGAGAGGTGACGGTTGCTACCCAGTGAATGTCCACTGGGCTTAAGCACAAGAAGCTGTGTGAAGGGAGGCCTCCAGGCAGATGGGAGAGCAAAGAATGGACAGAGCAGGAGGGCCAGGCATGGGGCCACTGAGCAGGCCACATTAGCTGAGCATTCAGGAAGCCATGTTTGGAAGAGTGGTGTGGGATTGGAAATAAGACTCCTAGGAAGAGTGGCATCATTACAACCTGCTTGAATTGGTCCTAAATTTTGAAATGTGTTCAGGAAGCTTCTGTCAGAGTTGCAACACATTTTTCTGAAAGGATCTAAAGTCCCTGAGTCCTGGCTCTGAGGTGAGTGTTCATAGGAACAGAAACTCATTGGGTGGTGAGAGAGGAGGGGGGCTGAACCTTGCAGCTCCAACAGAGGCAGCAGGGGACCAGTTCCTCCCTGTTTGCCCAGCACTAAAGCAGAAAAGTTTGAGAACTGAAAGCCTTGTCTTGGGGAAGCGCCTGAGGTAAACTGAGGCAGTTGGTCCTCTTCATCTGAGAACTGGGCTCATGAGCTGATAGTTGCTAGGGTCAGAACTGTTCCGAAGGTATTCCTGGTCTAGTGGGAGACAGCCCACTCCAAGGTCTTCACCTAGGTCCAGCAGCACTGGGACAGACACAGAGTCCGCTCTCTGGGGTGTCCTGTGACACTCACAGCCTGTCCCATTAGCTCCATGTGTCCGCCCCTGGCTGACTGAGAGTCCTTTTCAGGGCAGCTTGCCTCATCTCCTCCCCAGGCTGGCTCAGGGCTCTGCTGACCCGACCACCACTCCTGCTTTCCCGATCGGAGTTGTTTTGCCTCTGACCCTCCTCAGCTTAGAATTTGGGTGATTCCCTAGCGTGGAATAGCAGTCACTGGAATTCAGCCTGCATGGTTTTCCCTTCCCGGATCCCAGCTCTACCTTCATGTCTTTTGTTCTTTTGTGTGTTCTTTTGAAATAGGGTCTCCCTGTGTATCCTTGGCTGGCCTGGACATGTATGGTCTCAATATATAGACCAGGCTGGTGCTCCTCCTGCCTCTGTCTATCCTGGGTGCTAGGATTATAGGCTCCTAGCCCATCTAACTCACATCTTTTTTTTTTTTTTTTAATCTCTGAGTGTTTTGCCTGTGTGTATGTATGTGCACCATCTGTGTACATTCCTGGCGTCAGCATAGATCAGAAGGCATTGGCTCCTCTGGAGTCAGTTTGGGCGGTTATGAGCTACCATGTGGGTACTGGGAACCGAACCTGAGTTCTTTGCAAGACTTAACAAATGCTCTTAATCACTGAGCCATCTCTCCAGCCTCACCCATCATTTCGTTAGAGTTTTCCTTCAAATGGCTCACTTCTTTTGTTTGTTTGTTTGTTTGTTTTTGAGACATGGTTTTACTGTATATAGCCTTGGCTCTCCTGGAACTCACCCTATAGACCAGGCTTGCCTTGAATTGGCGGAGACTGGCCTGCCTATGCCTCCTGAGTGCTGGGATTAAGGGAGTGTGCCACCACCGTCTTACAAATGGCTTACTTTTTTATGAGACTGGTCTGCATAACAAGTTTCAGACCACCATAGTGAGATCCTGTGTCATCCTTACCCCAGAATAAACAACCACTTTGAAATACAGCCTTATGCTGGATAACAGTGCTTTAGTCACCAACAAACCCCATATATGACTGGTCCCCAGCATGCCACCTGATGGAACCAGAGCCTTCTTAATTTGTGTGAGTACTTTCTATGACATTTGCATGGGGAAATCACCTACTGACACACTGCTCCTACGTGACATGTGACTGTATATTTTAAAAGAGAAGTTTATGTAGGCCCCATGAGGACAAAGCCACTTGCTCTGCATGGACTGTTGCTGTAAGAGAAAGCCAGGTTGCAGAGCTCCTGTCAGTGTAGTGGCCATTGAAGGAGTGTGAGGTTCTCAGTGCAGGTGGAGATTCTCCCTTTGCTGGAGAAAGGATGGAGAGGCTAGAAAGGGGAATAACTTTCTCAGACCATGATTCACAAACCTAGTGCAGGAAACTCCCTGCGGGGGCGGAGCCACAAGACGGCCAGCTGCAGCCACCCTCCCCCACTTCCTCCCACTCCCCACATCCCAGGACCTCAGGGCCATTCCCTTTGCTTACCCTATTCCTGGTGCTCGGTGCTGCCCCCCCATCCCTGCTGAGCTGGTATCTGTACCTGGTGTATTGCCACTTTGTGTTTTATTTTACTTTGGTTTTTTGTTTGTTTGCTTTATTTTGTCTGAGGCAGGGTCTCACATAGCTCAGGTTCACTAAAGATGGCCTTGATGCTTCTGGGCACCCCCCATCCCCAGGTTACTAGCTTGGTCCTGGGGATCAAAGGCAGGGCTTTGTATGTTAGGCAAGCGTGCTGCCAGCTGAGCTTATATCCCCAGCCTGAAGTTAGGTTGTGACACAGGGTTTCATAGTGTAGTCGAGCTGGCCTGGAGTCCCTGGTAGTCCTGCCTTCACCTCCCATTTGCTAGGAGCACGGTATGTGATGTCTTACCTGGTGATGCTGTTTATGGTATTTTATTTGTTTGTTTTTAGAGACAGGATCTTAACCATGTGTTCTAGGCTGTCCTGGAACTCACTATGTAGAGCAGACTGGTCTCAAACTCACAGAGATCCGCCTGCCCCTGCCTCCCAAGTGCTGGGGTTAAAGCCATGCACCATATTTCTCCCCTTCCAATAGATGGATAATGTGCCAATGTGGTTATAACAAGGTTGTGGGAGGCATATGTTACATAGTTGTAAATACCTTATCATCATGTTCATGAACCTCCCCCCAAAAGAATTCTATTATTTTTGGGGGGTGGGGGTTTGTTTTGTTTTGAGGTAGAGTCTCACTATGTAGTTCCAGACCGGCCTCAAACTCACAGAGGTCCGCCTGCCTCTGCCTCCTGAGTGCTGGAGCTAAAGGTATGCGCCACCATTGGCCAGGCTAACTTTTGTTTTTGTTTTAGTTTTGGTTTGGTTTGGTTTTGGTTTTTCGAGACAGAGTTTCTCTGTATTGCTTTGGAGGCTGTTCTGGAACTTGCTCTGTAGACCAGGCTGGCCTCTAACTCACAGAGATCCGCCTGCCTCTGCCTCCCATGTGCTGGGATTAAAGGCGTGCGCCACCAACGCCCGGCCCAGGAAGCATTTCTTAACCACTCCCTCCTTCCTTTACTGAGTGTTTTGTATTTCTCGAGTGGTGGCCAGAGGATCTGAAGCCCACCCTGCTGCACAGCAAGGCCTTGTCTCACAACCTTGTATAGGGATGTTGTGCCTGCACCACGTGTGTCTAGTGCCCACGGAGGTCAGAAGAGGGCATTGGATCTCCTGGATTGGCGGGTGTAGATGGTTATGGCACCATGAATGCTGGGAATGGAACTCAGGTCTCTGAAAGAGCAGTCAGTGCTCTTAACCACTGAGCCGTCTCTCCAGCTCCCAAACATTTAAAAATATATATTACTGTGGTGTGCCAAGCAGACATAGAATGAGCAGACATTTCTGGCTCATCTGTATGTATGGGCCCCTTAGCTACCACACCCAGGCCTTGTACAGTATCTTGCATGCAGTGAATGCTTGTATTTGAAAGAATGAACAAATGTATGCCTTGGGAAACAGATTCTAACCTCAGTCCCACCCTCTAATATGGGTTAGTTTGGTTTCCCATCTGCAGAGTGTGGGCTTGTGTCCTGCATACACTGTGACTCAGGAAGACAGTCTCAGTATAGCCTGTCTCCAAAGCCAAAACCAAACAAAAGACAACAAACCCTGAGCTCTTGGGTGGAGTGAGGTGGACATGCCCTGGAGGCAACGAGCTGTCGTGGTGGCAGCTGCTGGGCAGAGCAGGTGGCTGTTTGGCCGCCTCATTATTGCCCTGCCAGCCTCCTTTGACCAGCTGTGACCCACCAATAGCACCCGAGTGGCACCTGTGCTCTGCTGCTCTGTTCCCTCTGGCTCCTGGCATCTTGGCAGCTTAACTTCCTGTCACAGCTCTGGAGGGGAGGAGACCTCACTACCAGAGACTAGAACAGGCTGCTGGGAGCTCCCTCCCTGCCTTGTGGGAGAGACCGAAGTTTCCCTGTGTCCTGAGGAGGATCTCTGGGACCTGGTGAGATTCCCAGTGGGATCTCTCAATACTAAAGAGGGTCTGTGTCTCCCCTCCACTCCCAAATGGTTGTGTTCCAGAGGGCGCTTTATAACTCTGTATGTGCCTGGTCTGTAGTGTTCCTATAGCAGCAATAATAATGTTAGCTTATATTTACAAGACTGGGCATCCCTCAACCGAAAATCCTAAGTGATTCAAAATCTGAGACCATGACCAGAAAATTCCACACCTGCCCTCACCCGACAAATTGCAGTCAGAGCACAGGTGCATTGATAATGATCCATAAATTACCATCTGAAGCCAGGTGAGGTGGCTCACACTATTAATCCCACCAGAGGCAGGCAGGTCTCTGTGTTCAAAGCCCACCTACAAAGTGAGATCCAGGCCAGCCAGGGCTACACAGTGAGTCCCTGTGTCAAAATAATGAAAAAAAATTACTTTCTGACTATGTGTAAAAGACCTGTATAAAACCCGTATATAAGAGAATTTCTTGTGTGGCTTGGGCTCCACTCTCTAGACATGTGTATGTAGATATTCTAAAATCTGAAAAATGCCAAATCTACAACATGTCTGGTCCCAGTATTTCAGATAAGGGATGCACAGCCTCCCCTAGGCCCTTGCCAAGCACTAGACAGTGTGTTAAACCCACTTAGTAAATTCTTAGCTAGTTCTCCCAGCAACCCAGGGGGTGGAGTCAATTCTGTTCCATTTTACTGATTTTCAGCCGAGAAGCTGAATGACTTGATCTGCCTAATTCAATAAATGGTTAGGCATAGATGTATACCCGTATATCTTACCAGCTTGAAAGTCCTGTACAAGACAGGGAGACAACCGTGAGTCTGGATTTGGGTCTGGTATAGAGTGATGTCAGTAGCTTGGAAAGAGGTGGGCCTTTTGCCTGCAGGCATGTTATGTCCTGTTGGTCAGGACCAAGGTCAGGGACTGTTGGGACACTAGCATTGTGCTCTTCCAGGCTCACCACAGCAGAGAGGATGGGACCACCTGATCTGTGTTTTACTGAGGAAGAAACTGAGGCTCAGAAGTGAAGTAACAAGTAGAATTCCAGGCCGGAAAGATTCAGACCCAGCACTCTGAGCCTTCCTAGCCTGCACCTCCTGGCGTTCCTGTGAATGACTAGGTCCTTAGCAGTGGCTGGCTCTGGTGGTTTTACCCTTAGCCTTGGACATTGTGGTGCTCCTCTGCTTCTGTAGGCAAGGCAGCAGGGACAGGTCAGGATTTGAACCCATAGCCTGCCTCAGCCTTAAAGCTTGTCTTCTTCCTCTGCTTGCTGACCTTGTGAGAGTCTGGCTAGAGGGAGGAGGCGCACACAGTCCTACTACAGCATCACGCGGTGACCGGTGTGCTCGTGTAGTGTGAGAAGCAGGAGTCTGCAGACCCGGAAGTAGCCGCAGAGCGTGATTGGAGATGGGGTTGGGCTTTGGTGAACCCCGATGAAGGAAGGAAAAGGAAGGAGCTAGGGTTTCCTGGGTTGGGGACAGGAAAACCAAAGCTGTGGCAACTTGTTAGGGCAGGGATGTGGGAGAGAGAAAGGCCCTGAACACACCTGCGTGAGTGTTCTTCGTGCTGTGGATGTAGCTGGTGGCCTTGCAAGCACTTCCCGGGATGATTGGATTTGATTCCCCAGTACCTCAAAGGGAAAAGTGCCGGGTGCCGAGGTGCACACTTTTAATCCCAGCACTTGGAAAGCAGAGGTAGGCAGATCTCTGTGAGTTCCGGGCAAGCCGGGGATACATAGGAAACTCTGTCTCAGGAAAAGGAAGGAAGGGAAGAAGGGAGGGGGAAGAAAAGAAGAAAAGAAAGGTACTGGAGAGATGGCTTAGAGGGTTAGGGCACTGGCTGCTCTCCCAGAGGTCTTGAGTTCAATTCCCAGCAACCACATCGTGGATCACAACCATCAATAATGAGATCTAGTGCCCCCTTCTGGTATGTAGGCAGCACACTGTGTATATAATAAATAATTAACCCTTAAAAGGGAGGGTGGTCTAGGGGTGCAGCTCAGTTGGTAGAGTACTTGTCTAGCATCACAGGTTCTGGGTTTGATCCCAGCACTAAAGACCTGGGTCTGACAGTCCTAGCACTTAGGCAGATCAGAGCTTCATGTCATCCTGACCCATAGCAAGCTTGAGGCTAGACAGGGTCTTCTGAACCTGTCAAAAAATAAAAGTTTATCTCTGGATGGTGTTACATGCCTTTAATCCCAGCACTCTGGAGGTAGAGGTGGGCTGATATCTCTATGTAACAGCCTTGACTGTCCTGGAGCTCACTCTCTAGACCAGGCTGGCCTCAACTCACAGAGATCACCTGCCTCTGCTTCCTGGGTGCTGGGATTAAAGATGAGCATCACCAAGATCAGCTGTTTTTTGTTTTTAAGGTTTATTTTATTTTATGTGTGGGTGGTTTTTAAGGTTTATTTTATGTGTGGGTGGTGTTTTTAGGGTTTATTTTATTTTTATATATGGGTGTTTTGTTTTGTTTTTTGTTTTTTATGAGACAGGGTTTCTCTGTATTGTTTTGGAGGCTGTCGGTCCAGCCCGGCCTCAAACTCACAGAGATTCGCCTGCCTCTGCCTCCCGAGTGCTGGGATTAAAGACGTGTGCCACCAACACCAGGCTGTATGGGTGCTTTTTAGGATTTATTTTATTTTATGTATGGGTGTTTTAAGGTTTATTTTGTTTTATGTATGGGTGTTTTTAAGGTTTATTTTATTTTATGTGTGGGTGTTTTGTCTGCATGTGTGTCTGTGTACCACATGCATGCAGTGCCCAAGGATTCCAGAAGAGGGCAGCAGATTTATTTATTTATTTATTTATTATTTTGGTGGTAGTGGTGGTGGTTTTTTAAGACAGCTTTGGCTGTCTTAGAAGTTGATTTGTAGACCAGGCTGGCCTCAAACTCACAGAGATTCCCCCTGCCTTGCCTCCTGAGTGCTGAGATAAAGGTGTGTGTCATCCCCACCTGGCAAGGTCATTAGAACTGAAGTTACAGCCACCATGAGTGCTGGGATCTGAACCCAGACCCTCTCCCAGAGCACACATGCTCTTAAGCATTGAGACACCCCTTTCAGCTCCTGGGTTCATTTTTTTAATGGTTGAGGATGTTGAGACAGCGTCTCACACAGTCCAGCTTTCTTCAGTCTTGCTAGATAGCCAAGGGTGAACTTGAATTCCTGGGTCTCCTAAGTCTACCTGCTGAGTGCTGGGATTACAAAATGCCTGGCCAGTCTTGTGTTTCTTTGTTTTTAAGATTTATTTATTTGATGTATGTGTACGTGTGCCTGCCTGTTTGAGTTTGTGTGCACCAATGTGTTCAGTGTCTGAGACCAGTTGTGAGCTGTTCTGTGTGGGTGCTGGGGACTGAACCTGGGTCCTCTGCAAGAGCAGTGAGTGCTCCTAACTGCTGAGCATTCTCTAGGCCGCCTCCTGTGGTTTTTTTTTTTTGTTTGTTTGTTTAAAATTTATTATGTATACAGTGCTCTGCCTGTATGTATGCATGCACACCAGAAGAGGGCACCAGATCTCATTACAGATGGTTGTAAGCCACCATATGGTTGCTGGGAATTGAACTCAGGACCTCTGGAAGAGCAGCCAGTGCTCTTAACCTCTGAGCCATCTCTCCAATCCTCTTCTTGTGTCTTAGAGACTCTGGGAAAGGGTTTGGAGCTAGAAGATGCCTTGGAAGAGACATTACGAAGGATGCAGGCGAGTGTAGAGGGTCTGGGAGAGGGAGTTTTCTGGAGCAGCTCTTTGGTGACAAGGGCCTGGCCTGCACTGGGCAATTCCAGTAGAGAGTAAAGGACTGGAGAGACACACAGACCCGATGACTGGCTGGGGAAGGATGAGGGGAAGGAAGTTCTCTGCAGAGAGGCTGGAGGAGTTACTTGTCATGGAACAACATGTCTGAGGAAAGTAACTGAGGGGAGGAGAGGAGAGGAACAACTTCACTGGAGAGATGGCTCAGCGATTAGGAGTGCTGGCTGTTCTTCCAGAGGACCCGGGTTCAATTCCCAGAACCCACATGGGAGCTCGCAGCTGTCTGTCACTCCTGCCGCAGGGCATCTGATGCCCTCCTGGCCTCCATGGCACACCTGTGGTGCATAAGCACACATGCAGGCAGACACCCACACACGTGACAGGGAATGAACTCCGTTTTGCTCATTTGTCTTTTCATTTTGAGACAGGGTTCAGCACCCTAGTAGAGATCAGAGGACTGCCTTGCGGGAGTCCATTCTTCCTATACACCATGTAGGTCCCAGGTATCAAACTCAGGTCATCAGGCTTGGCGATAGGCACCTTTACCCAGCCCTACTTATTTTTAGATTTTTAATGTATATAGGTGTTTTGCCCTAGTGTATATCTATACGCACCCTGTATATGCCCTCAGAGGCCAGAAGTGGATGTTGGGTCTTTTGGAACTGAACTTAAAAATAATTATAGCCACCATATTAGTGTTGGGAACTGAACCCTGGTATTCTACAAGAGTAGCAAGTACTTTTAACCATTGAACCACCTCCCCAGCCACTTATTTATTTGTTTTGTTTTTGTTTTTGTTTTTGTTTTTTTTTGAGGCAGAGTAAAGGCATATGCAGCCACCACCTGGCTCCCCTTGTTTATTTTTTATTTTATTTTTTTATTTTTTGGTTTTTCGAGACAGGGTTTCTCTGTGGCTTTGGAGGCTGTCCTGGAACTCCCCTTGGTAGTCCAGGCTGGTCTCGAACTCACAGAGATCCGCCTGCCTCTGCCTCCCGAGTGCTGGGATTAAAGGCGTGCGCCACCAACGCCCGGCTCCCCCTTGTTTATTTTTAAGACAGAGTTTTATGTAGTCCATGATGGCCTCAAATTTGCCATGCAGCTGAGGGGAGCCTGGAACTGGTGATTCTCTTGTGTCTGCCTCCCAAGCACAGGGACTGCAGGCATGCCCAGCTTGACCCGAGATCATTTCTATTATTTATTTGGGAGTGGTACTGGGAATTAAACCCAAGGGTCTGGTATGCTGGGCAAAGTGCTCTACCTTTGAGCTGCAACCCCAGTATGATGATGTAAAGTGTATTGAAGGATCTCAAACCTGAATTTTGAAACCTGGGTTCAAATCCTGGTTTTGCTGTGTACTGTCGCCTAGGGCAAGTCTTTTAACGTGTTGGAATGCTAAGAATGGTCTTAGAGCATGTAATGGTAAGGAAGACATGTCTGCGTGAGTTCAAGACCAGATTAAACTCAGAAGCAATACCTTATCACAGAAGAACAAACAGCAGGGCAACATGCATAAAGCTGGGCTCAGTTCCCAGCTCCACATAGAGCCAGATGTGGTGGTTACATGTCTGTAATTCCAACATGTGGGAGGTGAGAGGATCCCAGTCATCTTTAGCTGCACACTGAGTTTAAGGCCTGGCTGCATGACATCCTGTCTCACAAAGAACCAAAATGTATTCACCATTCTACTTGTTAGTCCTATTTACAAGTTAGAAAGCTAAGGCGCAGAATTCAATTGACTCAACCTCTGGGCCCCAACCGCCTGCCCTTTCCTGCTTCCTGTTCTAGAGAGGAAGTCTTCAGGTGCTTAATTGCATTTTAAGCATGTGTGGTCAGGGTTATGGTAAGAGTCTCTGTGGTGGTTGGAACTGTAACATAACAATCCCTGTGGGGCACCGGGCATGTGGGGCACCTGGGCTAGTGTCTAGTGCATTGGTTCCACTCAGACACTAGTCACTAGAGGTAAGCAGCCAAACTGGGGACTGTTCGGTAGACCCAGAGTCTAGGAGCTCAGCTGATGAATGTTCCCAAGCTGAATGCTCATGAGAGCTCAGTATCCGCATCAAAACAATAAGTAACGGTGCACTTGGGATACAGGTGGGACTCTGTGAGTTCATGGGCAACCTGGCCTACGTAGTGAGTTCCAGGAGCCAGGGATACATGGTGAGACCTTATTTTCTTTGGTTTTGGTTCTTTGAGACAGGTTTCTCTGTGTAGCCCTGCCTATCCTGGAACTCGCTCTGTAGACCAGGCTGGCCTCGAACTCCCAGAGATCCGCCTGCCTCTGCCTCCCGAGTGCTGGGATTAAAGGCATGGGCCACCAACGCCCAGCTGAAACATCTTTTTCCATAAAACAGAAAACAACAAAAACAGGAGGAGAAGGGAAAGAAGCATTGTAGTTTAGGCTGGCCTTGAAAGCAGTTTTCTAGTTTCATGGTGTCTGGGATTACAGGCACAAGCTACCATCCTAGCTCTAACATTCTGTTGCCATTGTTGGGTTTTATTGTATTTAATTATATTTATTTATTTTTAATTATGTGTGAGGGAGGGAATTGTGCATGTGGCTGCCAGAAGAGAGCTAGGGTGTCAGGCGGTTATGAGCATCTGTGTGAGATCTGAACACAGTCCCAGGCCTGAATGGAGAGCTGGGTCTGTAAGTAGTTTATGACGTTTGTCCCTGCTTTAGTGGGCCGTCCCCCACTCCCTGTTCCTGGGCACATTCTGTCTGAGGTGCCTTCTGTCCCAGCCAGGCAGCTGTGGCTTCCCGATGGCAGGGGCCATGGGCTGATGGGGCACCCCCATTTTCTCTCTTTCCGCCCTCAGACAACACAGGCAGCTCAACATACCGACCGCCCCCTCGGACCCGGGAGGTGACGATCAATGGGCAGACGGTGAAACTGAAGTATTGCTTCACCTGTAAGATGTTCCGGCCACCCAGGACCTCACACTGCAGTGTCTGTGACAACTGTGTAGGTGAGTGAGTGGGAGGCCTCAAGGACCCCTGAGAGACTGCGTCTTGGATGCAGGAAGTCACGTGACACAAGACCGGCAGCCTCTGAAATGCTTAGGGCTGACTGGGGGCTGCTTGGCCCAGACTGTCTGTGACAGCTCTTGGCCCAGGGTTGGTATATCCTGTCCCCCTAGTCCCCAAGTATTCAGCAGACAGAGCCCTTGACCAAGTCTCCTAGTGTTTGTGTACTCCTCAGTAGGTCCATGATCCCAGGAGCCTGGGGCAGCAACGTGGAAACTGAGGCAGAAGGCAGGGTCAGACTCTGGAGGAGGGAAGTGGAGAGCCTGGACCACAACTGGAAGGGGGCTGGCTCTTGAACACCCTCGTCTGCTTGGGTTGTTCGTCACCCTGCTCCTCGATTGCTGTACAGCTTGATGAAGATCATGACGGTCCCTTGGGAGGGTGTCATAAGGGAGAGTCTGTATGACACCCAAGTGAGCTGAGCCATGGTGACAGTGCACTGTTCCCAGGGCAGTGACTTCATCTTAACAGCTCAGCACTCCCTGAAGAGGAGAGCTGGGACAGCAGGCAGTGAAGTGGGTGACTCAGTGGGTGTTATTCACCCCTGCCCGCCTGCCCCACCCACCTCCTTAGAGGGCACCAGCCTTGGCATAAGGCCTGCAACGGGCTTATGACCCAGATTCCCACAGGGACTTTCCTCACCAGTCTGGGTGTGACTCCCACCCCCAGGGACTTAGTGCTGGTATGAGCTCAGTCCCTTGCCCTGGCCTCTGGTGCCAGCTCTCTGTGAGTTCCCTAGCGGCCCAGCCCTTTCTGGGCCTTAGGCCAGAGCTTCTGGCATGTAACTAGTGATAGGCCATGGTCTATGAATCTGTGAACCAGACACGATCGGCCCTGGAGATCTCAAGGGTCTGAGGCGTCCATGTCTTGCATGGATGTCGATACGACAGGGTGCCCCTACCTAGTCTGAGGCCATAGGAGACTTTTTAAGGGAGTGGCTTTGTAGGTGACGTCTGAAGGAGTTACTATGGAGATAAGAGTAGACGGGGAGTGTGTCAGGCTGTTGTTGTGAGAACTGATGATCAAGGACTAGTGGTAGGGTGTATCCCGGGAGGGGCGGAGTCAGCTGGTGCTGGGGGATGAAGAGATGGGGGGTGCCAGCGGGGGGAGGGGGAGGCCTGGCCACCAGTGCTGCTTGGAAATCCACTGACTCCTTCCTTTTCTAGAACGCTTTGACCATCACTGCCCCTGGGTTGGCAACTGTGTTGGGAGACGGAACTACCGCTTCTTTTATGCATTTATCCTGTCCCTCTCCTTCCTGACGGCCTTCATCTTTGCCTGCGTGGTCACCCACCTGACTCTGCGTGAGTGGGGGATGAGGGGTGGAGGAGGACTGGCCAGTGAGCTCAGCCCCAGCAAGGGCCTGTGGCCCACCCGCCCTGAGCTAAGTCTTTGTCTCTTTCTTCCTAGGTTCTCAAGAAAGCAACTTCCTCTCCACTCTGAAAGAGAAACCAGCCAGATATCTTTTGCCAGTTATCCCCCTGGGTGGGAGCTGAGGCCTCCTCATGGGGCGGGTCTCCAGAGTGGGATAGTAGGACCATGCTCGTTCTCTAGAATCTGCTCCACCGGCTACTTTGTCAACACCCAGGCTAGGACTGATCCTAAATGGGTCCTCACCCGTTTTGGGGGTGCAGAAGGCGATCTGGACCACATGAGAAGTGGGGACTGGGTCACAGAGAGGGTAGTAAACTTGCCACTTCAGGGGTGTAGCTCCAGGGAAGGGCAAGTGAGGAAGGACGAGCACAGGCCCAGGGGCTCCGCCCTCCTCTGCACACTGTCCTTGACAGTCCCACTGTGCTGGAGTTGGTCATCTGCTTCTTCTCCATCTGGTCCATCCTGGGCCTCTCAGGGTTCCACACTTACCTCGTCGCCTCCAACCTGACGACTAACGAAGACGTGAGTAGAGCTGGGCGGGGCTGGGAGCCTGTGGTGACTGAGTACCTCCTGAGAGACCCAGGGCAGAAGCCCAGTGTCAGACCTGGGGTTCCTGTGTGCTGCAGGCCCTTGGTTTAGCACCTAAGCTGCCCTTCTTGGAACTCCACAGAGGTTGTAAGCACCAGACGTGTGCCAACGCCTTGCCACGGAGGGATCTTGGCTTTCCCTGTGCTATTGGAGCATGGCATCCTGCTTATGACAGAACTGGGATGCATATTGCCCATGCATGGCATGACTGAGACATGTGGCTTAGGGTCATAATGCTGGGAAGAGGCCAGTCCAGAATTGGTGCCCAGGAGTCGTGACCGTGCCTTGGCATCGACCCCACCACACCTGTGGGCAGCAGGGTCCCTTGGGTGTATGCCGTGAGAGGCATTGTTAGGACAGAAGATGTGGCTCTGCTGACCCCTTCTACCTGCCCCCTTATAAGCCATCGCCAGCTAGCATTATCTGAGAACCCACTGTCCCCAGTCCAGACATGACCTCCCCTTACTGTCCTTCATCCCATAAAAGGAAAGCAGTCCTGATGTTCCCAGGATTGCTGCAAAACACTGATCAGAGACCTACCATCCAAAAGAACACGCACGATGAGGGCAGAAATGACATCAGCCCCAACCCACCCCCATTACCCATGGGTTCCTGAGGGCTGGGTCTGCAGGATCTTCCTAGAGCTTATGCAGAAAGGGGCGCTTGGCCCAGCAAGTGTGCAGGCTTCTGGGTGACACCCAAGTGGGTCCTTCCCGATAAACTCCTTGATGCCTTCAGCAGAGGGCTTCCCCAAGGCAGACTTCATCCAGAAATGCTCTGTCTGCTCTGTGCCCTCGGTCCTGCCCTCCCTCTTAGTTGGTGTCCTCGTCAGCGTTACTGTTGCTGTGACAAATCACCACAACCAAGAGCAAGTTGGGGAGGAAAGGGCTTATTTGCCTTACACTTCCTCATCACTGTTCGTCTTCAGAGGAAGTGAGGACAGGAACTCAAGCAGGGCAGGAACCTGGCGGCAGGAGCCGATGCAGAGGCCAAGGAGGAGTACTGCTAACTGACTTGCTCAGCCTGCTTTCTTATAGAACCCAGGACCACCAGCCCAGGGATGTCCCCACCCACAATGGGCTGGGCCCTGCCCCATCTATCGCTAGTTAAGAAAATACCTATAACTGGATCTTATGGAGGCATTTTCTTCATTGAGGCTTCCTTCTTTCAGATAACACTAGCTTGTATCAGGTAGGTGTAAGACTATCCAGCACAGGTGGGAACCGGAGAGATGGTCTACGCAAACCCCTGCCGTGGAGACCTTTTGGTTGTCTTCTGTGCTCGTTGGAGCCTTCTAGTCTCTGCTGGAGCTGCCCACACCCATTGAAAGGCCTCCTGAGGACTTGTTCCCTCCAGCAGTCCACCCAGGGCTGGTTTCTAAATGGGATTCTCTCTGGCCTCGAGGTTCCATTTCTAGAAAGTGAGGCAAAGGGAGGCAGGAGTAGTTCCGCAGGAGGGTGCTTGCCTTGGTGCAGAAGGGGTTGAAGATGGAGCTCAGTGATTGGTTGGTGCTTCTAATCAATAATGCCCAACACTGCTAGAGGGAGGCAGGACGGAAGGACGTAGCTTACCCAGGCTTCTTCCCTTTCCAGATCAAAGGGTCCTGGTCCAGCAAGAGGGGCGGTGAGGCCTCTATCAATCCCTACAGCCATAAAAGTATTGTCACCAACTGCTGTGCTGTGCTCTGCGGCCCCCTGCCTCCCAGGTAAGCTGGGACATACACGTGAGGTCGCAGGGGAGGTAGCCCTGAGTCTGGCGCTCTCATGGGAGTTGTAGAGGTTCTGGACCTTAGCAGACCTTTCTCCCTGCACGTATGTGCGTAGATTCCCCGTTTGCTGTCTGTCCTCTGCTCTTCTGGATCACTCAGAGAAATTCTGAGGAAGGCTGTTCGTTTTAATCACACGAACTCATTTGTAGAATTAAAAATAAGTGCAACCAGGCATAGTAGTACATGCCTATAATCCTAGCACTTGAAGGAGAATATCTTCCGTGTTCAAGGTCAGCCTAGAGGGGAAAAGTGCAAAATAGTAAAGATCATAGGGGCCGGGCGTTGGTGGTGCATGCCTTTAATCCCAGCACTCGGGAGGCAGAGGCAGGCGGATCTCTGTGAGTTCGAGACCAGCCTGGTCTACAAGAGCTAGTTCCAGGACAGCCTCCAAGACAATACAGAGAAACCCTGTCTGAAAACCCAAAAAGAAAAACAAATAAAGATCATAGAGTATTCTGTGTAACCCTACTTCTCAGAGATACCACAATGACTGTCATGACCACACTTGGGTGACATGCTCTTCCTGTTCCGGGGTGAGGTCACCTCCCTCTCCGGGAACCTTACTCAGCCCTGCTGGGAAGCTCCATGTCTGTCCTGACAGCAGGGGGCGCCAGAGCTCCAGAACAGCATTAAATGGCCCTGGGGAGTGTGGGGACAAGACCTTCCTTATACAGATATGCCCTATCTGGGGACACAGGACACTAGGCCTCTTACTGCCTCCAAATAGCTATTCTTTCTTTCTTTTCTCTCATTCACATCCTGGCTTCTTGGCACCCAGAGAGTTAACCATGAATAAACTTGGGAGGTAGAGGCAGGCCTGTCAGAAGTTCAAAGTCATGCACAGCTATATCCTCAAGAAGCAATGCTACTTGGGATCCTGTCTCAAAAAACAAAAACATTTGTGAATGGTGGCGCTACTACGTGCCCCTCCACTTTTTTTTTTTTTTTTTTTGAGACAGGGTTTCTCTGTTGGCCCTAGCTGGCCTGGAACTCGCTCTGTAGACCAGGTTGTCCTCAAACTCAAAGAGATCAGTCTGCCTCTGCCTCCCAAGTACTGGAATTACAGGTGTGTGCCACTACCAACCAGGAGCATTTAACTGAAACAGGCAGATCTTTGTGAGTTCAAGACCAGCTTCATCTGCATGGTGAGATCTAAGCCAGCCAGGGCTGCGTAGTGAAACCCTGTCTCAAAAAATAATGAGCTGGGGGCATAGTGGTATGTGCCTTTAGTTCCAGCACTCAGCAGAGGCAAGTGGATTTCTGTGAATTGAAGGCCACCCTGGTCTCCATCGTGAGTTCTAGAATGATCTATATCTACAGAGCTACTTAGTGAGACCCTGTCTAAAAATAGAAATATTAATAAAATAAACAACAAAACTAGTTACTTCATTACATGGCAAAAGCCAGGTACCCAGAAGGCCTTATTTTCCATGCATTTACATGTATGTGTGTATACACACATACAGTGGTATATGCATATGAAGGTCATGGGTCGGTCCTTGGGGTTGAAGTCAAATCATCAGGTTTGGTGCAAACACCTTCACCTGTTGAACCATCTCACCAGCCCCAGGGGAGGGTCTTGAACTTCTGAATGGAGAGCTGCTTGTTTCCTGGGCTGGTTTTCCTGGGAAGACATAGTCTACATTGTCACACCACCTGGCCTTTGGTCTGGAGCCCTGTCAGAAGCTCATGCCCTGTCCTTATGTTTTGGAAGCCTGATTGACCGGCGAGGATTCGTACAGTCTGATGCTGTGTTGCCCTCGCCCATCAGAAGTGACGAGCCGGCCTGTGGGGCCAAGCCAGATGCCAGTATGGTAGGAGGCCACCCCTGAATGTGACCCAGTGCCTGCCACCTGCTGCCCTCCACGCCTGCTGGGACCCTCCCCATACCATCCGAGAGAAGCAGAGCTGCCAAAGACTCAAGTCTTTTCCTATTTATTTCCCGTCCTGCGTGGCTTTCTCTGAACTGTCCCATAGCTGTGCCCTCTGCTCCCCAAACCCAGGTTCCCACAGTTTGGGCCCTAGGTCCCTGAGCTGATCAGTGGCAGGAGAGGAGAGCCACAGCCTCTGGAGGCCACCAGGGAGACCATGCCGAGTCACACTGGAGGCCCAGTGTGAACGAGGGTGGGGACTCTCGTGGGCAGCCTCCCAGCTGGAGGCATGCTTGGGCCCTGGAGAATCCAGGGGCTTCTGGAAGCAGGACTGCTGAGAAGTTAGCCTGAACCTCAGGTGGCAGGCCAGGGCCCTTCCTTGGACTGCTTTGTTCTGGGGCTCCTGCATTCCCTTTGTGATGATCAAGGTTATTTTGGTGGGATTTGGGGGGAGGGTTATATAGAGTCGGCCAATAGGATAGAGCTGGGCACCAGTAGAGAGAGAGCATGGGTAGAGAGGGTGGGAGGCAGCCTGTGTCAGAGGAAGACAGACCAGCCATTCAGGCCCCCAGAACCTCAGCTCCTGTAGAGTCATGGGCAGCACTGGAGGAATGGGGACCCTGCCTTCCCCAGTCATGGGGACTCTAAAGGATCCTTTCCTGTGCCCCTAATCTCTTCCAAGTCAAGGCTAGAGGTGGGTGGATTAGGTGATGCTGGCAATACTTGAAACGGGTTTATTAATGCTGGGTATTTTGCACAATTTTATAGACCTCTTTTTTACATAGCCTTTTTTAAAATAGAAGTTAAACACATTGCTATCTGTGTAGTGCCAAGTCAGGGGTTTCAGAAGGGTAGGTGGTTTAATACATTTATTACAGCAGATCTAGTGAGTGATGAGAGAGAGAGAGAGAGAGAGAGAGAGAGAGAGAGAGAGAGAGAGAGAGAGAGAGAGAGAGAGAGTGTGTGTGTGTGTGTGTGTGTGTGTGTGTGTGTGTGTGTGTGTGTGTGTGCCCCTGTACAAATGCAGCTGACTTCCATATCCCCTGGGCTATTCCCTTTCCCCACTTCCCTGTGTTCAGAAACAACCTGGGGCATGGGGACTGGAAGGATGTACATTAGTCATGAGACCCCTGGGCTCCTGCCCTCTTTCCTTCTACCAGTCATCAGACAGCCAGTGGCTAGGGACTCTGCCACCCAGCCCCCAGGTCAGGCTCCCAGCTGTGACTTGCCCCAACAGGCTGAGGCTAGGTGTGGTGGGTGGGGTCTGGGGAGCAGCTGCTATTCTGCAAGCCACACCCCCTCTTTGGAGTTCTGCTCTGAATATGGGCCCCAGTTCTAGGGACTAGGAGACAGGACATTTTTGCTAATTAGGAGTAAAGAAAGAAGTGGAGTAGATCAGGAGGGCGTGGGTTGGCCAGGAGCTCATAGCAAATCCTCCTCGTGCTGGGAGCTGTAGTTTGTCATCAAAGTTATTCTTCTGGCCCCCTCTTTGGCCCTTCAGGTGGGCTGAAGCCCTTGGATCATAGCATAGGAAGTCTCTCCGCCTTCCTTGCTCCTAAGGCCAGTGGGTCCCAGACAAAACTGGGAAATGGTGTCTGGAGAAGCAGCTTCAGACCCTCGAGGTAGACAGAGGGGCTGCAGGCGAGCTCCCTACCCTGCCTTTTATTGAAGCCGGTTGTCCTTGTTTCTGCTTGTAATAAAACTTGTGTTTTTAAGAGCTGATTTGCTTTGGTTTGGTTTTTTGTTGGCTTTTATTTTGCTGAGTCCCTGGGTTGCAGTGTAGCTCTGGGTTCTTTCAGACACACCTGGATCTTTCCTGGGAACCTGAGGCAGGCAGGCAGCCTGGTGGCTGGCGGGAACTTTGCAGCAGAGGGGCTGTGGCTAACACACCTGTCCACCTTCTCCATGTCTGTCCTCTTGTGCCTCAGGAATTGGGACCTCCTGAGCTCTTTCCTGCTAACTTTCCACCCTTATCCCCAGTGATTGCTCAGCTAAAAACATGTTTGACACAGTAGGTCCCAGTTGGAGTTTCTTGTCCCTGCCCCAACCTGACCTCCTGGGTGCTAACAGCCAGGCAGATCGATCGTAACATAGGCCGACCTCTCTGGTATCTCCTCCAGGAGGACACCTGTCAGGACTTTGCCATCTCCTGCACAGCCTGAGGGGAGCTAACAGGCCTCTCTGCAGAGGGTGAGCTGGTAAGACCACGCCTCACCTGTCAGCCAGCACTGCCCACTCCCCTCACACACCATCTCGTCACCTTCGCATGCCTCAACAGCCCCATGAGTCCATCCATCTGTCTGGTGTGTGGTGTGGTGTGTGTGCACTTGTGGCAGGACCCCAGGGCTCCCCACACAGAAGGCTCCTCTCCTGGGACCTTGCAGAGTACCAGTCCTTCCAGAAGAGGGGTGAGGTTGGGAAGGGTTGCACACCTGCCTGAGGGGCCCGAGCCTGTGCGGTTGGTGTACTGGTGCGCAGGGCCCCCAGTCAGGTCACTAACCCCTCTGCATCCTGCTTTGTGTCCCTGCCAAGCTCTCTCGACTGCCCGGTTTCTCTCCTGCTCTCTTGCCTGCTGCCTGAGCTTTGACTCCTTTCTGGGAGAGAGGCAGGTACTGTGGTAGCCTTTGACCCCAATAGGGTCCCTGCAGGCTACCCTTTCCACCCACCCATCCGCTAACCTTCTCTCTTCTCCTTTGCCATCCTGCGGATCATCCAGTATGCTGCTCGGGGGCTAAAGGACCTCCTTCGGACTGCCACTCTCTGCCTCTCCAGGCGTGGCCTGGGGGGAGCCAGGCCCCCTGCACCTTCACCTGCCTAACCTGTGGCCCATCTGCCACCGTCTGTGCCTACAGGGTCTGTCCCCCAGCCTGTCCTACTTGTATGCTCTCTAGAGACCCCCACAGTGGGCAGGTGTTGACCTCTTGGTCCCCACCCCCACTCCTTGCTGGCCAGAGTATATAGAAAGCCATACTGCAGCCTCAGCACAACACACACTATTGTAACCCTGCTGAACCTCACCCTCCCCACCTCCCCTCATGCCCCTTCCCCAGATTTATGAAGTGTCAAGCCTCTTCAGGAATCCTGCCTTACAGCCTCCCCCCAGTCAGCAGAGCCATAGGCAAGCCAAGCAGGTTCCTTCAGGAGCTATCTGGGTGTCCATGACGCTGCCGAACAAGTTTGGCGACTGTTCTGAGCACAAGGGCTCAACACTGTTCCCACGCCCCCATCCCCCCCAGGAGGATGTGAAGTGTGAGCCTGTATCCTTGGCCCCAGGCACCAAGGGCTACTGGGCTCCATGTTCTTCCAAGGAACCAACCAGGCCAGACGGGGGAGGATCAGCTGTACCCAGCATGGGGGGGGGCGCTGCTCGTCTGCTGTTCACTACCTTTTGTAACAGAAATAAAGACAACCCCCCCTTCTTGCCATAGCCTTGAGTGTGTCTCCCACGTTCCTTTGGGGCCGGGGTGGGGCCTGCTGTGCATGTGTGAGAGCAAGTGTTCCCTCACAGCCTCCCAGTACTGCTCTGGAGACAGTGAGGCCAGGAGGGACATGGGGAAAGTGACCCCTTGGCTCTATCCAGAACTCGTTTCCTTCACAGAAACCTTCAAAGCTTAGCTGAACTCTGAACTGTGAAAAGCCCTGCCTAGTCCAAAATGGGGGTGGGTGTCAAACTCCAGTGTGAGGTTCACATTCCCACCCAAGGAAGTTCCATAGAACCAACCGCCTTTTGTCCCTTCCACGGATGTTCCCACATGGACACACGCTGTACTCTGGAGTGACAGTGCATGTCTGTAATCCCAGCACTTGGGAGGTGGAGGCTGAAGGATCAGTTCAAAGCCATCCTCAACTACATAACAAGCTCGAGGCTAGCCTGGGCTGCATGAGATACTGTCTAAAAAAAAAAAGAAAGAAAGAAAAGGACTCAAAAGATAAGAACCTTGACACCAAGCCTGATGCCCTGAGTTCAATTCCCAGACCCACATAGCAGAAGTGAACTGAGAAACATTTGTCTTAGAAAACAAGCCTCCACATGGTACTGTGAAATACACCACACACACACACACACACACACACACACACACACACACACACGATAAATTGGACAGGAATGCTGCTGCCATTCATCAGTGCTTGCTAAGCATTAGACTGTAGTCTCCCTGTAACCAAAGAGAGAGTTGAGGCTCAGGGAATGTCACCTAGGCATCAGGGCTGTGTTACCCCAGCAGGGAAGGGTAGGGTCTCGGAGAAGCCCTAAACTTGGAGAATGCCATACCCAGGAGGGGGCTGCCAGCCTCTTGTTACTAGTGGGGAGGCCTAAGCCCAGGGGCAGGAAGGGACCTGCCCAAGGCCTCGTATGACCCAAGTGGAATGCAGTTCTACATGCTGACCTCACTGGATTCTGTGCCTATGAATTCCACAGTCTCATACCCTATACTGGGTTGGGGGAGGGAGTGTGGGGAGGTGTTAACCTCGAACAGCAATACCTTAGAAGAAAATGAGGCAAACAGCTGAATCACCTAAGCGTGCTCCTCTGTCCCTTCCCACATCGAGTAGACTGCTTAGCTACAGAACTAGCTCTTAAAACCAACCACAAAGCCGTCTGGTCAAATGTTGAATTTGGTCATTCCAAAGCCAGAAGTTACCCAGGAAATTACTAGAAAAGAAAAGGCTTTGCCAGTTGTGGTAGATTCTTTCTAGTCTATAATAAGAATTCCTCTTGCTGCAATCAGCCTCTCCAGAAAGGTGGGCGCGGGCCCCCAGGATGAGGAGAGCCCCCTGAACTGTAACCCCATCTCCTGTCCTGCTGACTCAGACAGCCGCTTTGGAGTCCCATGCTCTGCCAGGACCTGCTACCTCCTGCCTGCCTGGGCTCCTGGACTTGGGAAGTAGAAGCCTGGAGGCAAAGGGAGGCAACTGAGACAGGAACTGAGTCAGGATCTACAGGCCACAGCCAGCAGGAGTGTCAAGCAGCCTGGCTTGAACAGAGGAGGAGTGAGAGACAGGTTGAGGGTCTAGAAACGCTATAGTTGCCTACCAGGTTCGTGCCTTAAGGGTGTGAGGCACTCCCTTCTTGAACTTTCAATTTTTCCAGCCCCTGCTGTCCTAGTTCCTAGTGCCCTGGGATCTCCAAGTTGCCCCCAGGACCTGGGGAAGCCCAGGCCAGATGAGTAGTGCCAAGGCCCTTGAGGGCTGAGAGAAATGTTCTAGACGGAAAGGGAGGAGTCAGTGCCAATTTCACCTAACCATTTGTGAGTCTGGAGAGGGAAGTATGTGCAGAGGACCCCTTCTCTGACGTGGACATCTGGCTGGTCCACGGATGGTTTGTGATCTTTGCTCATCCATGGAACCCAGCTAGAAAAGAACCAAGAGCTGGGCAGGGCCAGCTCTTTAATCCCAGCACTCGGGAGACAGAGGCAGGCAGATATCTGTAAGTTCGAGACCAGTCTGATCTACAGAGTGAGTTCCAGGACGGGCTCCAAAGCTACACAGAGAAACCCTGTCTCAAAAAACAAAAACAAAGCCACAGAGAAACCCTGTCTCGAAAAAACCGAAAAAAAAAGACTAGCCACAGAGAAACCCTGTCTCAAAAAAAACCAAAAAAGAAAAAGAAAAAACAAAAAAAGAAAAAAAAAAAAAGAAAGAAAGAAAAGAAAAAAAAAACAAACCAAAACAACCAAGATCAGGGATGGGGGCTAAGGATGTAGTTTAGCTGGTAGAGTTTTGGGACGAATGGGGACAATCCCAGCACCACTGCATAAACTAAGTGTGGTGGCACTCCATAGGTAGACCAGACTGGTTACGAACTTGCAGAGCTCCCTCTCCCTCTGCTTCTGCCTCGTGAGTGATGGAATTAGATGTGTACATCCCCCAACCTCTTTTTTTCTGGGGGCTGGGGGTGGGGGACAAAGTGTCTTTTTGTAGCCACCAACTGGAACTCCGCTGCTGTCAGTCAGCCTGAGTGCTGGGACTCTGGACGTGCACTGCCATGCCCTTCCCTAACTTTTAGTGTCGTTTCTTTCCGTCCTTTCCTGGGTCGTGCTCTGAGCTAGGCAAAGCCCTCAGAGAAATCCCACCAGCTTCCTGGGAAACCCCACAGAATTAGCCAGGATCTGAAGAGTCCCTGCTCTTGTGGCATAAGCACATGGCCTATACCTCCCTCCCAGAGACAAGGTGTGCGTTCAGGCAAGGGGTGGGGGCAGTAGTGGGGGACAGGCAAGGCTTGTGCAATAGTCCTAGGATTGGATTGGCTGGGTCCCAGGGAGAAGGTTCCTTAGAAAGGACCCTGGCATCCCATCTAAGCTTGGGGGTGGGGCAGATAAACAGGAACCTCCCCTCTGTGCCCATACTCTTGAAAAGGCTTGAAGACAGGCCCCAACCAAACAGGGACAGGAGGATGGGAACAAAGTGGTCTCCATCTCTGAGGAGGCTTTTCTTAAATTGGAGGCGGGACCTTGATCAGTGAGAAGGGACTGGGGAACCTCTGGGAACCCAAGTGGGGGATCTCCCTGAGCTGGAATGGCTACTCCATAAAACAAAATGGTATGTGTCATTACTGGCTCCCTCTCCTCAGCCCTGTCTTCCTCCCAGGGTGCTAGCGTCCCCCCTGGGGGACCAAACTGGACCGAGTGCCTCAGTAGCCCGCTTCCCAATCTCTGACAGGCAAGAGAGGGGCAGTCAGAGAGCTAGGCTCCCGCCCTCTGTGAGCCCTGCTGACACATGAAGGCCGGCAGCTGGGAAGGGACGGTGCCCTGACGTGGAGGAGGACCAGAGAGTAAGGTCTCAGACAAGTGTCAACAGGCCACCAGCTTGAAAGGGAAAATTGTGCTCTACTGGGGAAGGTGTCCAACAAACCTACTGGGTGACTAATTACAAAGGCTGGGTTCAGCGTCAGAGGCCACTCGTTAAACACTTAATTAAGTGGCACCCTGAGAAGCCACCTGCGCATCCTGGTGCTCAGAGGGGACCTTGAAGAACAAGGACCAGGGGGTGCACCGGTCTTTGGGCCCGCTCAGGGAGAAGTCTGGCTCTCAATTCCAGATAATGGCTCCGGGGTCACAGGCCTCAGTGGATAAAAGCCAGAAGAAACCAGGAGCCAGCAGCTTGTGACCTTAAGCAGTTTCTCCCCTTGAGACCTGATGTTCCCACCTCTGCAGTCCTACGGAGCCATCACGGGAATTATATCAGATCATGGATGCTAAAGTGCATGGAAGTTTATAACCCTGCCTACACATGAATTCTCACCTGAACCATCCCAGCCCCCTGCACCAGCCCACTGAGCTCTGCCAGGGTTAAAGCAGCCCAGTGGCTGTAGCCATCCTTACCCCTGGAAGGACACCCTGAAGCAATCTGATTTGGTAAACCAGAACACTCCTGCAATGCAGGTCTGAACAGCAGGGGGCAGTCTGGAGCCTGAAAGACGCCTGCTCAGGTGGGACCCACAGCCAGGTTTCTCCTGATGACTGTCCTGATGACTCACCCCACCCCCCACTCCCCACCCCCGACATCCCAGCCCTTTTACCTTTAAGGAAAAGCCGGAAAGGGTGTGGGGACAAGAGGAGGAGGCAGGGCCCAGGCCCGCCCCAGGCCACTCCCAACCCTTCTCCAGGCCATGCCACCCCAGCCAAAAGGCAGGCCCAGAGCAAGAGAGGCACAGAATCCAGCATTGGTCTCAAGGCAGCCAGTTCGCCCGCCTGTCTGTCCTCGGAGTCATGGAGAGAGCCAGTCTGATCCAGAAGGCCAAGTTGGCAGAGCAGGCCGAGCGCTATGAGGACATGGCAGCCTTCATGAAGGGTGCCGTGGAAAAGGGCGAGGAACTCTCCTGTGAGGAGCGGAATCTGCTCTCCGTGGCCTATAAGAATGTGGTGGGCGGCCAGAGAGCGGCCTGGAGGGTCCTGTCCAGCATCGAGCAGAAGAGCAACGAGGAGGGGTCCGAGGAGAAGGGCCCCGAGGTCAAGGAGTACCGGGAGAAAGTAGAGTCGGAGCTCCGGGGTGTGTGCGACACTGTGCTGGGCCTGCTGGACTCCCACCTCATCAAGGAGGCCGGAGAGGCAGAGAGCCGGGTCTTCTACCTGAAGATGAAGGGTGACTACTACCGCTATCTGGCCGAGGTGGCCACGGGTGATGACAAGAAGCGCATCATCGACTCTGCCCGGTCAGCCTACCAAGAGGCCATGAACATCAGCAAGGAGATGCCGCCCACCCACCCCATACGCCTGGGTCTGGCCCTGAACTTTTCTGTCTTCCACTACGAGATAGCCAACAGCCCGGAGGAGGCCATCTCTCTGGCCAAGACCACCTTCGATGAGGCCATGGCCGATCTGCACACTCTGAATGAGGACTCCTACAAGGACAGCACCCTCATTATGCAGCTGCTGAGAGACAACCTGACGCTGTGGACAGCCGACAACGCTGGGGAAGAAGGCGGAGACGCTCCAGAGGAACCCCAGAGCTGAAGCGACCCGCGGCCTCCCTGCCCTGCCCTGCCCTCCAGTCCAGTCTGCAGACAGGACTAATATGGAGTGGGACCCGGCCCTTCCCAAACCCTGAGTGTTCTGCCACGCCCTGAAAAGCTCCTTGGAAGGTGCAGCCAGGCTGAGGCCACCAGGGGCTGGGGACCCGCTCTCATGCAGCTGTCGGGTGGGCGTTCCTAACCCCGCCCACCCCTGCTCTCTGTACCCCAACTTCCCTGCACCACTCCAGAACCTGCCCTCCCCCTGTGCCTCCCTCTTGTACCTGTTCCTTCTAGATCCTAGGAGTCCGGGAGGCTCCCACCCCTGTGGCTGAGAACTGGACTGTGGCAAGGGCTGTGTGTGTGTGTGTGTGTGTGTCCGTGTGACTGTGTGTATGAGAGAATGAGAAGGAACACATGTTTGCTGGGTGTGACCATGTTTCCTCTCAATAAAGTTGCCCTGTGACACTCCTCTGTCTTCTCCAGTTATTGGCCGTGGGCCGGGAGTAGAGCTGAACTGAGCTAGAGAACCAGAGTTAGGGCCTTAACTTCCGCTGGGGCTGCCTCGGTGACCTGGAAGTGAGAAGAGCCTTTGGGTCCAGTGGTTTCAGGCGAGAGGCCATCGGGAAGCCCCCACAGCGCTCTGCTTCAGGCCAGGTGAGCTCGAAGGCAGGGCAGGAGAGGAGAGGTGAGTAGCTGCTGTGGGCGGGAAAGCTGCAATGCTCCGATGTGGTGGGAACCAAAGCCACTGGAGACCGAGCACCGTGGCCTTAGAGACGCGCTTCACCAGTGGCACTGAGCACCGCAGATCTGAAAGCGGGAAACGCCCACATCTAGTGCTCAGATCTGAGCCGAGGGGGGCACGATCCGAGGCAGGGGTACAGCGCCCTCGCTAGAGACCCAGATCTAATAAGGGAAAGCTCTCCAAGGCCCAGCGATTCAGGGTGGGGACAAAAGGAAACCCGCTGGCGAGGAGCCGGCGCGAGCTGGGTGGGAAGGGCTGCAGGGAGTCCGGCTGGACCAGCCCGCGGCCCGCGCACCTAGCAGGCAGCAACACGCACCGACTCGCGGAAGCGTGCCGCTGCCTTCAGCCCACGGCCCAATCACAGGACGGGGTCTCCACAGAGTCCGCACCCCGGAACCCGATTGGCCAATGGCAAAACGAGTATTTCCGCCTACCGCCCCGCCGGCCCGGCTACCGTTTGCGGAAAGACGAAGCTGCGTCCCCGCGGTCCGTGGAGCGCAGCGGGCGGGTCCCTTCCCGGTTTCACTCCGACAAGTTGTCACCCGCCCGACTCGGGAGCTCGTCCCCCACCCCCGGGAGCAACGGGACAGGGAGGGGCCGTGTGCAAAATTTAGTCTCCGCCCTTTGAGTCATCGGCTCACCTGGCGGTGTCTGGACCAGGCCCGCGGCTGAGTCGGCTGGAAAGAGGCCAAGACGGTCTTCTCGAACATCAGAGGCAGACCAGCGCTGGGCGCCGGCAGGCTAAGGTTATGTCCCTGGTTGGCTTTGCAGCCCAGAAAAACCATGACACCTCCTTGCGCCTCAGTTTTCCTTCTGGCTCTCCAGTTACGCAAAGTGAAAAGCGGGGAACCTGCTTGGGTGCAAGGTTAAGCAGCACCCAAGGATCTTAACCTTTGGGTTTTCCTTTGAAAACTTAGGAGTGGGAATTTTAAAAGTGCCTTAGCAGGCATGGCACGGTGGCTATGCCTTTAATCCGAGCACTCTGAGGCAGGGTGGAACTTTCTGAGTCCCAGGTCAGCCTGGCCAATTTAACAAGCTCCAGACTATCCAAGGCTACATAGCGAGAACCTATGTTTAAAAAAATTATATATATATATGTATATGTATATGTATATATACAACTACATCAATAAAAACAAAAAGTCCAATTCTAGGCAGGGCATGGTAATACAAGCATTTACTCCCCCCATTTGGGAGGCAGGAGCAGGCAGATTGCTGTGAGTTTGAAGCTAGCCCTGGCTACATAGGGAGTTCTAGGCCAACAGGACTATATATATATAGTAAGACCCTGTCCTAAAAGAAAAAAGATGTGCACTACATTAGTGGATGGTGCATATGCTCAACAAACATTGACCCTTTCAGGAGCTGGGGTGTGGTTCAGCCTACGGGATGTCCAAGGACCTGGACCCAGTCCCCAGCGCTGAAGGAAAGACAGCAACCAAGAAAAGCAAGGGGAGGGACCGTTGGAAATGTTAGTGATTAATTAGTCTTCCAGCCAGTATCAGGACACCGGGGACTTAGCCAGCGTTTCTAATCCCACAGCAGAAGAAGCATCAAGCCCAGTCACTGCCAAAGTTGACCTGGGTGCTCTTTGGACCACATAAAAAAAGCTGGCTTGCTGCTGGAGAGATGGCTCAGTGGTTAAGAGTACTGCCTGCTCTTCCAGAGGACTTGGGTTCAACATGTCAGCTGACTGTCTGAAACTCCAGTTTCAGGGGACCCGAAACTTCCCATGGACACATAAAATTTTTAAAAAGCGAGCAAGCAAGCTGAATTGGCAGCAGGAGGACTCTTTGTGGGAAGGTTAAGCTAGCTCAGCCCAGGGTTACTGGCAGGAGGACTCTTTCTGGGAAGGTTAAGCTAGCTCAGCCCAGGGTTACTGGGTTCTCCATTCAAGTTTGGCCACACCTATGGTACTGGGCTCTTGTTACAGACCCTACTTCAAGGAAGCTGCAGGATGCCTAGCGTTTTCTGGCCCTCTGTTTCCTGGTGATGTATGGGGCTTCAGGGTTCCCAGGCCACAGAGACTCTGGGCTAGGGCAGGCAGCTCCCCTCAGCTCTGGAGGTGACCCGGTTTCTTTCCACCAGACAGGTCTGGTGACTTTCTCTTAATGGGATAGGTCCTGTCTGGGAAAGGGACTCCTGTCTCTCAGCCTCTGCTTTCCACGTGTCTGCTCCAGATCACGCATGGCTGCCCTACATTGGAAACGAGTGGGCAGGAGCTGGGTCAAGGGTATTCAAGAGGACACAGTTGCCCTGCACTGAAGGTCATGATGCCTGCTGTCTATTAGAACTAGAGTGTGGCTGTTTAAGGCTGTAGCTTCTCACCAAAGTGGTCTCAGAACTTTCTGTCTGTGACATGTTAAAAAAATTATGGAGTGGAGAGATGGCTTGGCAGTTAAGAGCACTAGCTGAGTTTGGTTTCTAACACCCACACAGCAACTCACAACTCTCTGCAACTCCAATTCCAGAGAATCTGATACCTTTTTCTGACCTCCATAGACATAGACACAAGTGTGGTACAGGCACGTATGCAAATAAAACGCCCATACAAATAAGAATAAAGTCCAAAAAAGTTTAAAATTTCCAGGCATTGGTGGCGTACACCTTTAATCCTAGCACTTGGGAGGCAGAGGCAGAGGCAGGCGTATCTCTGAGTTTGAGGCCAGTCTGGTCTACAAAGTTACACAGAGAAACCCTGTCTCAGAAAAATAAAAACAAAACAAAACAAAAGGCTTACAGAGTTCCAGGAAAGGCTTCAAAGATACACAGAGAAACCCTGTCTCAAAATACAAAAAAAAAAAAAAGCCGGGCAGTGATGGCGCACGCCTTTAATCCTAGCACTCGGGAGGCAGAGGCAGGCGGATCTCTGTGAGTTTGAGGCCGGGCTGGATCGACAGTTTTCAAAACAATACAGAGAAACCCTGTTTCGTAAAAAACAAAAACAAAAACAAACCCCAAAAAAACAAAAAACAAAAAAAAGTTCAAAATTATGGTCATCTCTTCCTAGTCTACATTTGAAATTTAAAAAGTTCCACTGGGCGTGGTGTCCCATACCTTTAATCCCAGCACTCAGGAGGCAGATGGAGGAGAATCTCCAGGTGTTCAAACCCTAATACCAAGGAAAGCACAAGACTGCCCCAGACAGCCACACAGGTAAGAATGGCAAGTGCCATTTGAAATTGGTGGTGGTCATTCTTACTGTCCCTGTGGATCATGTTCTTTTAACTTTTCGGAAATTATAAAGCCATGCTCAGTTCAGATCAGAGTTTCTCTGTGTAGCTCTGTCTGTCCTGGAACTTGCTTTGTAGACCAGCCTGGCCTTGAACTCACTGAACCTGCCTGCCTTTGCCTACCAAGTGCTAGGATTAAAGGTGTGTGCTACCACTGCCTGGCAGCAGGTGTAATTTTTTTTTCCCGAGACAGGGTTTCTCTGTGGCTTTGGAACCTGTCCTGGAACTCACTCTGTAGACCAGGCTGGCCTCGAACTCACAGAGATCCACCTACCTCTGCCTCCCAAGTGCTGGGAATAAAGGCGTGCGCCACCAACGCCCAGCTCAGCAGGTGTAATTTTTAAGAAGAGAAAAAAGGGGATGTCTGTATTAAATGGGCTAGGATGCAGTTGTACAGGAGATAGAGGATGAGGGAGAAGGGGAAAGGGACAAGGGAAAGGGGACAGGGATATTTGCCCCACAGGAACAAAGGACTGCTTCTAGATAGAGAGGAGACAGAGATGGGACATAGGCAAATGACAGTTTATAAAGGTAAAGGGGGAAACCCTGTGTTAGGATGAGGTGTTTAATTTTTTTGGTTTTTGTTTTTCTAGACAGGATTTCTCTGTAGCTTTGGAACCTGCCCTGGAACTAACTCTTATAGACCAGGCTAGATTCAAACTTAGAGAGATCCACTTGCCTCTGCCTCCCTAGTGTTGGGATTAAAGACATGTGGGTGCCAACACATGCACACAAATATACTCATACACACAAACATAAACACATACATATACATACAAAAGCACATAATTCATACATACATTCATACACAAACACACATACATCCATATACATAATATACTCATATATATACACATTAACATGCATACACCCATATATTCACATACACACGCGCGCACACACACACACACACACACACGTTTAACATCAAAATGTCTCAGGCCTGTCCAGGAAACCTGAATTTCAGATGTTTGCATCAAGATGGCTCTTCTGACCAGCCTCCCCTCATCCTGCTCCTTCCTAGGGATGTGGCAATAGCCTCTGTTATCCAGATCCACCTGGATCTGCTCATGCCTTTAACCTCAAGGTATTGCATGGGATCATGTCTGTTTTACCCATGAAGCAACCGAGGCTCTGGTCACTTGCATAACTTAATAGCCAAGGTTAGACCACTGCTTGTGTTGGGTGTGGGGCAGGTCCGACTTTCAGGCTCATGGTCTTGGAACTACATCAGCTATTTTCAAGCTGTTCAGAAGCTGCCTCCAAGCAGGGCCCAGGTGGCTAGGGTTTCCTGTTTCCACACACTGTAGCTAAAATAGCCACACATATGTCTGTTTTGTGTGTTGGGGTTTCGTGAGTTAAAAATACGTTCAAGAAACATGCATTATGTTGTGCTATCCTGCTCTTGCTTTGGACTTTGTAAAAACCAAAAAAAAAAAAAAAGGCTTTTTCTAGTCACATCCATCTCCTCCACCCAGGCCCCAACAGAAAGG